GAATCTGACTGCTTGGATAACCTGGGTACTCCTCCAGAAGGGAAAAGTAGGAAAGTGTTCCCTGTGGGCAGGATCCAGAGCTACAGATTTTGCACTTCCCATATCCATGTCTAACTTTGGATCTACCTACTGTTCTTTTTATGTCACAGCTCTTGAATTTCTGGTTGCGTGGTGGCTTTATTTCAAGAAAAAGGATATATCGTGTTCCTGTTTAGGTAGACCATGAACCCCCTGGACTCAGTAGAACCTGAAGCTGAGCTTTCTCGTTACCTGGATCACTCTTCTGATGTGTACTCTGCAAATTCAGGTCCCACTCATTATATGTCCATCAGGGCTGGAGAAATTTAATATAAGTGTGCTGCACAGCATTTCTTCGTGTTCCCAGTGTTCTCAGAGGGATCATGGAATGCTTTGAGTTGGAAAGAACCTTTAAAGGTCCAACCCCCGTGCAATAAGCAGGGACATCTTCATCTAAATCAGGTTGCCCATAGCCCCATCCAACCTGACCTTCAATGTATCCAGTGATGGAGCATCTGCCACCTCTCTGGGTAACCTGTGTTTCACCACCCTCATTGTAAAAAATTTCTTCCTCACATCCAGCCTGAATCTCCCCTCTTTTAGTTTAAAACCATTGCCCCTTGTCCCATCGCTACAGGCCCTATTAAACTGTGTCTCCATCTTATAAACCCTCTTTAAGTATTGAGAGGCCTTAATAAAGTCTGCTCAGAACCTTCTGTTGTGTAGGCTGAACAATCCCAACTCTCTCAGCCTTTCCTCAAAGGAGAGGTGTTCCATCCCTCTGATCGTTTTTGTGGTCCTCCTCTGGACCCACTCCATCAGGTCCTTGTCTTTCTGGTATTGAGGGAGTCCTGTTTTTCCCCTGCATATTGAGAGAGGCAGTTTTCATTTTGACACTGATTGTTTAGAAAGGTATGGTAGTAATTACAGGCAGACTAGATCACTTCTTTGGTGTGAGGAACCCAAGATGTCAAACAGGCTATGAGGAGGCTGGGTTATAGAAGTTATAGGGCATGGATTCCATTCACTAGCTTTAGCAAAACAGAAGTAGAAGCATCGCATAGTGTAATCCTCAGTAATAATTTCAACAATGTTTTTTTATTATAGAAAATACCATAATACTAGAATTTGAAAAATTAGTGGGCTCAGTCAGGACTGTAGGACCCAATGGTTTTATACTTTAATGGTCTTAAAGGAGCCATAATTTCTTTCAGAAATCAAAAGATTACCAATGGTATATGGCGGTAAAGTAGAAGCTGTAGTAAAGCAGATATTACAAAGGCAGTGAGGCTGCAGTGATATTGGGAAGATCACTAACTTCGTATCAGGGAAATATCTGCAAGAGGAAATCCTTTAAAAACTAAGGAGTATTTGTGATATGTGATCACTTCCAGTTATGAATATAGTGTATTTTACAAACCTATTAGAGCTTACTAAAACCAAGTCTGTAAAACATTATTGTTCATTAGTGTGAAGCAGTAAAGTTTTTAACAGATACGTATGAAATAAAATTTTGCTTTTTTCATCTTTAGTACGTATTTATATTATTGGAAAGCTATTTAAAGTAGAATTTTGCCTTTCCAGGTGCTACTCCTTATACTATACCCTTGACAAGATGACCTTTTTCTTATCTTTGTTATCCAGCTTTCAATAAGTAACTGGGAAGTTTAAAAGAGACACTTGCTATCAGCTTCTTGTCTCAACTGTTTAGGGCTTTAAAAAAGATGTGTAAGTATTGAATCAGCTCAAGTTAATAAATAGTTATTCTGTTCCATAAACAACTTACTGGCTATTAAAGGAAAAGCCACTGGGCTTTTGTAAAAGTGGACAAGCAATTTATTTTATATTGAGAAATTTTTCAAATTGTAGGAATCAGAAGGAATCCAGTGTACCCTTCTGAACACACTTAAATGCCAGTTTATGTGCAGCAAAGAAGAACATTATCCAATGACTCACAAACATAATTTCTACTTTGCAACACAAAACACACAAGTGTAGGACACTCTTTAAGATCACCACTAAATATACCAAGAGGTGCTGACATGACTTTGGCAATGAGATCTAATGAGATCATTTTCTTCTGGGCATATGGATGTGTAAAGTGCTCTTTTTTTTTTCACATGAAGAATATTTTAAAGAAAGAAAATCTATTACCATTTTGATATATGGAGAGCCAGCTGAACATCAGAAATTGAATATGCATAAAAATCTCTCCAAAAGCTACTGTTTTGTCCTCCTATGTACTTTCAGAGTTAGATTCTCCCATCACTCACTTGCTGAACTCAAGAAAAGCAGCATTGCACCAGCTCCAAATCCAGCACAACTTATATCTGCTAGAGCATCATTAAAACTGGACTAGTGAAGTAGTATACTTAATCTGATGGATTTATTGAGAAATAGTGGATTTGTCTGTAATGTTAAGTGCAGAGCAATTGCAGATATATATTTAAAAAAAAAAATTCTATTTTTCTCATTTCCTGATATAAATAAGTGGTAGAAGTAAGTTCAAAGCACAATGTGGTTATGGTCTAGCAACAGTTTATAACCAGTTTGCTGCTATTTTGCAAAATAACTAGCTAAAGAAAAATTTAAATAAGCTTCTGTAACCAAGATTTCTTGTCTTAATACTTACTTTTATTTATATAAGGATGCTCAGGGTGAAAAAGAAGTAAGAGGAGAACTGGAAGGGGTGAACAAACAACATAGGACTCTAAAGGAAAGCAATAATTAATGTGAGGCCATACAGGAAGATGCTTTGATGCTTTGGGAGCAACAAATATATATATATACACACACATGTATATATATATAAAACAACAACTATATATTCATAAAAATGCACAAAATTCACATCAATAAAATGGCACACCTAATATGACCACTGAGTAATATGTTGATAAAATTTGCCTTCAGTCTAAACCATATTTCCCAAAGCCTAGACATAGTGTTACAATTTGCGTATGCACTGCCTGTAGCCACTGATATTCACAACAGAACACGGCATAAACCCAGTGCATTTAGTGTAGGAGTGCATGATGTCATGCTTTGTTTTGTTTAAGATATATGTTTTGGCATGTGAGAGAGGGCAAAGTCAGAGAAACTTGTTTAGAATTTGGGATGACTGATAGGAAAGTTTGTTGAAAGTCTGCAGACGAAGTAATACTTCAAGAACATTACTTACCTAACCCTGAGGAGCTTACGTCACCTGTAGTACTTGGAACTGGTTTTGTTCCGAAAAGTTCCATTGTTCAAGATGAGAAAAAAAGGCTTGATCACAGCCCCCCTTAGGCAGTTTTTTAGATGTGCTGTCTTAGCCACCGAGTATGAGGATACCTCAAATTTATGTTCGAAGGAAGGGCAGTACAAAAAGCAAAAGGCAGGTCTGATGTTTTTACAGAAATGTCTGCAGTAGCCTTTGCTACTGAGGTGTAACCTATTACTCTGTTTCAGATAGTTTTTCAAATGGCTTAAAATACTCAAGTATATCAAAGAACTGTAATCACCCTGAGAGGTGATAATAGCACAATCAACTCATTATCTTCCAGAACATGGGGCAACAACTTTAAATCAACTGGGAAAGGCAGAAAGCATTATTCAGAAATGCTGCTTAATGAGAGCTGGGACTGAATGAGAAATTCAAAAGCACTTCTGTACAATGGGTTTTAGTGATCATTGTTTGGTACATCTTCTGTGTAATTATAGGTTCTTCTGAATGCTTTCTTCTGCTCACCTCTGCCTTGCCCATTTTTAACTCTAACCAGCTTGTTTTCATCAGTATGCAGATCTTCTCCAAGCGCCATCCTGTTTCAGCATTAGGATAACTATGGCAGGCACTTCTGACAGAAAAATGCACCTATTTGCTAGCTGAGTATTTACAGCATGAGACCTCATCTTCTCATCAGCTGTGTCATAGACTTCACATTACTAGGACCAAGGACTGATCCTTGTTAGGAGGATGCATGTTAAGCTGAAATCCAACATTTTTTACTTACTGAATGTGAATTATGTGATAAATCTAATCTGTAGACAACATCATTCATCATGCATGGTAGAATAATAGATAATTCATGTTGAAGGTACCTCTTGTAGTCATACAGCAGTCAGAGAGACTGGGGATGAGCCAAACCCCTGAGTAAAAGTCAAGCCACCTTTGATCAGATTGCTTAGGGCCCTGTCTTGTGGTGTTTTGAATATTTCTAAGGATGGTGATTCCATGAACTCACTGGCCCCTGTTCAGGTGTTGACTACCCTCATTGTGAAAAGCCTTTTCCTGATACCTCATCAGAATCTCCCTTCTTGCAACTTCTTTCTGCTGCCCGTTGTCTTATCCCTGTGAGAAAAGCATGGCATAGTCAGAATCAGCCATAGGATCCCAACTTAGCCAGCTCCATTCAAGACTGAACAAATCCTGTACTGTCAGACTTTCCTTCTAACGTGTAGGCCACCTGTATCTCACAATTTTGTTTACAAAGATACCGTGGGAGACTGTTTTGAGACTCTTGCTAAAATTCAAGGTTAACACCATCCACTGCTGTCGTCCACTGAGCCAGTCCTACTATCACCAAAAGCAACCAGGTTGGTGAGACAAGCCTTCACATTTTAGTAGTTGCAACGTGTACCTTGGTATACTATAGACAGAGCTTTTAAAAGAATGTGTTTAAATACTGGCAGTGCATGTGCAATTGCAAAACAGTTATGAGTTTGTGGCTGATGTATGGTGAGATGAGCTTAGTATTTTAGGAGGGTTTTTTTAGAGGGTTTGTGGTAAACTAGGCAGAGGTCACAGGGTGACAAGACAGAATCATAGAATCGTTAGGGTTGGAAAGGAACTTAAGATCATCTAGTTCCAACCCCCCTGGCGTGGGCAGGGTTAATGAATATCCCACTCACAGGCTTTTACCTTGTCCTCAGTTTTGACCAATTCAATTAGAAACAGCAGCTGTAAAAGCTTAGATCCAAGTAAACAGGAAATTTGCAGCTCCTCCTGAAAGGGCTGTAGAGCTGTGCTGAGAGATGCTGTGGGAAGAACTCTGTGTGAAGAGTAATGGTTGACCATGGCAAGCAGTCTGGAAACTTGGTGAGCTGTGGAGAGAAAAGACTTTTCTTTCTTCTTTAATGATGGGTGTCTTGGCTGGAGTTCAGTAAAGGTAAGATGAACTGTGCTAAAGCTGGTTTTTATGCTGTACAAATTGGCCATGCTATTTTAGTTCTTCAAAGAAGAAACAAAAGAAAAAGTAGATTTCAAATATCTATTACTGAGAGTAAATGGGAAAGATGTTTTTCTCTTTTGTTTGCTTGGTTTTTCCTTTTTCTTCTTGGTAACATGTCAATCATAGTCTCTTATTTGTGTGCACCAGCTGCACTTTAAGAGAGCCCACTATTAAAAATCATCTCTCTTCAGGAAATGCTAGTATTTTTTTCCAGTATCCCTTCTGAAGCCTACTAGGTAGTCCAGGCAGATGTAACTTTTCCCCCTAGTGCATGTTTTTTTTCCATCTTCAGGAAATAACCTGGTTACTATTCTTAATCCTAATTAAGTTTCATTTAAAAAGATAGCACCTCCTTTTTGAAATAGGTGTGCTTATCTGATTAATTAAAAAATCCCTGCTACATCGTAAAGCCATCATCTTCTTTCAGTGATTTACTTACACATTGCAGTCCTTACAGTGTCTATACTGTATACTTTAGGTCTGCTAGTATGCTAACAACTAGAATTGACATGTTCAAACATCTGAATAGCAGAAACTGCATTTTTTTTCTGGCTCTGGTTGTCAACCAGAGATGATGAAATTGTGTGCTGTAAAGTGAGTCGTCCCAAATATCGTTCACTTAAGCATGTTAGATCACTAAGCTATGTGATCAAAAATGTCACCATGTTAAAAGGATGTTCTAATGGCTTTCACAATAGAGGTGGTCATTTTGTAGATCAGTTCTTGACAGTTGCACTATGATAGTATTTACAAACAGAATTACTTGTGTGATTATTGTATTTGTATCTTGGGAGCAAACATGATCTAGAACATCTTTGGAAAGTGAAGTGGTTACCTTCGGAAGTGAATCAGTAGCATTGCATACAAATACTTAAGCAAAAGTGGCGAACACATCCCTGCCCATGGTAGGGGGGTTGGAACTAGATGATCTTGAGGTCCTTTCCAACCCTAACTATTCTATGATTCTATGAATTATTTAAGCTACAAATTGAGAAATTGTCCTCTGTATGTGATCTGATATTACTAATGTGAACCACTGATCTGTAGATATTTTAATCTACAATGAATGTGATAATTTGTTAAGTGTTACTGTCGGTAACCTTTTCCTCTGGATATTTCAGTGAAGACAGTGTATTGATAACTATGAGATATATAGAAAAAAATTGTCTTCAGAAATTCACTATCACTAATTTCATGCAGTCATAAGCAACTTGAAGTCAATGTGACACAAGAAATAATATTCAGCTGTCTCATCACTAACAAATGATGCTAATTAGCTGTCTTTTAAGCAAAAGATAATACATCATAGGTAAGAGTTCATATTTCATATAGTGCCCATTACCAGAGACGTAGGGCCAAATGAACGTTCATGTTGCAATCCTTTAAGCTCTTCTGTCACAGAATATATTATAAAAATGATGCTGTGAAGTAAAGTTTTAAGACAGTGGAAACTGGGAAATTGAAGGCTTTAGTGAGCAGTCATGATTAGTATTTGCTTTGATGAGGACTAAGGGAATACTTAGGGCTTATGCATCCCTGTTGTGTTGTCTTCCCCACTGCTAATAGGGGCATGGCAGTTTGGTTCACTTCTGGTCATTTCCACAGTGACTCAAATAGTACCAGCTTTGTTTTTAAAAAGGCTACAAATGAGACAATTCTCAAGTATCTAAAAATTCTTTGCTGCTTATAAAGCCTAGTATGCATCACTAGCCCTATGATATGGGGACCTTGGAAATGATCTGTACAATGGGAATGAGGCTACCCGCATTGAGTTGAGATCCAGATCTTTCACTTCCAAGATTACAGTGGTCTGAGGTTCAGTAGCAAATAGCTGATTAATACTATGAAATATTTTGATCCACTCACCAAAACCAGGGAATAGTTTGAGTAGCTGGTAAATAAAATTTCTTTCATTTAATTGCCATAAATAAAAGGGTGGAAAGTTGAGAAATGGTGAGCAATGCAGTGAGTAAAAGCTGTGGCCTAAGCCAGATCCTGCCCATTGCAGTAGCTGGAATAAGTAGCATATCTCTACAACTATTGCAAAGCAGCAGAAGGGGGAAAATGAATATAGCTACCTTTTGCATAAAGTGTAAAGAGATATTCCATACCATAGAACATCATGCTCAGCATATAAACTGGGCAAGTTGGCTGGAAAGGGTAGATCATTACTTGGAGATGGACTGGCCATCATCTTTTTTTGCATGATTCAAATGCATATTGTATTAAGCATCATTTGGTTTTCTTGGGGTTTATTCCCTTCTCTCTTTATTTTTTCTTATTATTATGCTTTATTTCAGTTATTAAACTGTTCTTATATCAACCTAGGGGTTTTTACCCTTTTTTCCCATTTCTTCTCCTCATCCATGTGGGGAAGAGGGGGTGGGAAGTGAGTGAGTGGCTGCGTGGTACTAAGCTCCACCTGTGGTTAAGCCAAGACACAGAGCATTCCTGTGTTATCACAAAAAAAGTGTGTAACACAGGTGTGTGAAGTGGTATATTTTGCAGGGGAATGGGGGTGAGAAGGCTGTGGAGTAGCTATTGTTAGTTACAGTGCCGGGAACGTGCACACAGGTGAGGTGTAGTACGGATGCAGTCTATTGCTACAAAGGTGCCCCAGCCTGAAAAAGGTGGAGAAAAGCCAGTTTACGTGCTCAGTGCACAACTGAGGTATCCTTTCTGATGTTAAGATACATGATGTAGGCTTATTCATAGGCAGACTGCAGTACTACCATGTTTGATTTCTAAAGTGAAATCAACTCTCAGGATATGTTCTTGTGTGCAGCTTCTAGAAACTCAAGATAAAAAAGCAGAATTAATGCCACTGAACATAGCCAGGTATGCATCTTACTGAAAATAGTCATGCCTATGATTTTTGCATGTGATTCTTTACCAGTTGTTAGCTAGGAATTTCATCCTTGCATATAACAAAGGGGAGAGAATATCAATACTTCTAGCATTCTGAAATCCTTTAATCTGCCTTTCTGATAAGACTTTGTTGCTAATTCCAAGGAAAAAAAAAGTCATCTTAAATCAGTTCACATAAAGAGGTTTACAATAAAGATGAATGTGTGAAATTTAGTGTTTTCTTCATAAATTACAATACTACTTTAGCAATACTTGCAATGATGTCTTAGGCATTTATACATGTGATGAGCTCAGAGAATAGTGCAAATATGTCTGTTATATAGTGTGAGCACAAATCAAAATTAAAAGGAGTGATTTCAAAGGAATAAAAGGTATTCTTTGTAATGGAACAAATATTCCTCTTGTATGAACACTGCCTGAAGTATCCTGTTGATGTGTTTGCATGTTAAGAGAAAATCAACACTGTTATATTTGATTTATCCTTCAATGTAATGTGAAGCTGAGTTATTACTGTACTAATGGTGTGGCAACAAAAGTTTCTGAAATGCTGGCAAGGCTCCAGTTTATCTTGTTTTTACGTGTCAGAATTAACAAAGTGAGGTTATTCCAGTATTATCTAAGAGTCATTGTTATCTAGGTGGCATTTGTGGTCTATGGAGTCGGGCTTTCTGAAGTGTGAATGTCCTTTTGCTGATTATATTATTTCATTATTTAAGTAATAAATTCTGTACAGTGCAGATGGAACCTTTGAGGAAAGCAGATATTATTGTAATTTAGTATTTCAGTAGCTTTGTAGTTATTTGAAATGGTCTATTAAGTAATGTTTATTTTCATCTTTTTTTATAAAAATGCTTCTTATATGTTAGTAGATACCCATCCCACTTTACACAAAGGAAAACTGACAAAAATTGGGAGTGAGCCCAGGTTTTGGGGTTTTTTTTACTCTTTATCCAGTGACCTGCTTGTAAATGACATTTATATTGGCCCTTTCTGTCTTCAATCTAGATATGGCTTTCGGTGTAACAGAAGCCATAAAATATAAATCAGTAATTACGACAGCTTTTCCTAAAAATACAGGGTTTAACTAGAACTCATTCAGAAATATGCTGTCAATTTGAAAACACCAAATGAGGTGCTGGGATGAATTTCTCCCAGAAGAGTTTGCTATTGTAATGCCCATTGCTGTAGTAAACCATTTTTAGATGTGTTACTCAGAACTAAATCCAGAGATGTGTGGAACAGAGCCAACGGGGACTACTGAAAAGGGATGTCTCTTCAGAAGTACCTAAAACAGGCTGCAGAAAGCTTCTGTCAAGTCAGGATTTACATCTAAAAATGGTCTTGCAGAATTAGGTAATCAGGCTTCTGCTTTCAAAAACAAATGGACTGCCATTGCATTCATACTTGTACAGTAGTTCAGTGCTTCAAACAGTGATCGATAACATAAGAGATGGGTGTTACAAACAGTCATCGGCCAGCAAAGAATCATTTCTTACGACCTTAATATAAGCCTATGGGATCTCTTCTCATTTATTGTCACACCTGTGACTCCCCTATTGTAGCGAAAAGCGTCCTTGATTTCAACAAGCCTGGCAAAAAAATGATGTGTGTCCTAGACTGCTGTCCTGGGCGACAGGAGATAACTGGGTATGGGTTTTCTAATCTCCATGCCACGTGATTTCCATGCCTTTAATCCACTTTTACTGATGTAGTATGTGGTTCATGAATTGCCCTTCAACGTAGAGTCAAAATCTTGGTCTCTAACCATAGTAAGCTATTAACAATATGTTATAAAATTGTACTTTGCTATAATTAATCCATATGTCTTTCATTGTTCTGTAGGAACTTCAGCAGATGAATGTTTGGCATTCCTGTGTGTGTGTGTTAGACATAAACATTGAATCCATTAACTCTATTTAGACTGCAGTAAACTCTCAAGGTGCGAAAGTTTCTCTGTGTATCAACAGGAATTTATTTGCCTTTGGATTTAGGTGCCAGT